TCGACAACGTGCTAATAGATAAGTACTCAAGTATACAATAGTACAGCGCAACTGCATGCGCAGTAAATCGACGCGTCGTCGTGTGTGTGTGTGTGTGTGTGTGTGTGTGTGTGTGTGTGTGTGTGTGTGTGTGTGTGTGTGTGTGTGTGTGTGTGTGTGTGTGTGAAAGTGTGTGTGTGTGTGAAAGTGTGTGAACCGCTTATAACTTTTAAACGGCTTGACCGATTTAATCACGGTTGGCGCCATTCGAAAGAGCTTGACTAAACTTAGATTTCCTAAAAATTTGAACCGATTCGGACCAGTAGATTTTGAGAAATTGCAAAAAAACTACAAAAAAAAATTTTTTTGAAAAGTGGTTTTTTTGGAATAACTTTTAAACGGCTTTACCGATCAATTCCAAAAACTAATCAGCTCTTAACATAAAAAAACCGCGTTGATCGCCGCCAGTCCGGTCAAAATCGGTTGATTTGTTCGTGAGTTATCGTGAACGAAAGAAAACCGAAAAAAGTGTTTTTTCGGAATTACTCTGAAATTTTCGGTTTGATCAATTAAAACCTGAAAATAACTTATGAGGCTGATAAAACTGCGTCGAATGCCGCCAACCACGTGAAAATCGGTTGATCCATTCAAAAGTTATTGCGATGTGAAAAAAAAAAAAATAGTGTTTTATCAAACTTCTATCAAACTTTTGAGCTCGAAGAGTTCAAAAGCATACAAAAGCTATTTTTTTGAGCTCGGAGAGCTCAAAATAATACACAAATTGTATTTATGAGCTCGAAGAGCTCCAAAACGTCATAAGTGCAATTTCAAGCGTTTAAGTATAAAATTGGCGAGAAGTTGCAGGGATGGCCTTTAGGGTAAACCGTTTTTCTAATTTTTTTAATAAGCAAAATCCTAAAAATTGTCAGATATATGCTAATTTTATTTCCATGAATTTTTTTATTTTTTTATTCAAAAAATTTGTTTAGTTCGAAAAATTCCTAAATATTCAAAAGTTATTATCAGTGATTCTGACGCCACTGATGGAGACATTCACAAGGACTCGACACTCATCACTCAAGATCCAAAGAAGCGCACCCGCAAACGGTCTACTAAGGCCTGCGAACTCGAGCTCAGCAGTCAACGGTCCAGATTGAAGCTCATCTCGGACATCGAAGCCGTGACATAGACACTCACCGCTGCCGAAGGTGCAGCGTCACGTAAAACTTTTATGGAGGTTCTCACCCAGGAGTGGCACCAATTTTCAATTGTCCATGACCACCTGGGGGTCAATGCCAATGAAGAGTTTCTCCAGCACTCATACATCAAGGATGTCACCTACAGATCATACCTAGGAGCTCGCAACTTCTTGTCCACACTCATACATTCGCTCGACGTTCCAGCTTAACCCACGCAGGCTCAGAACTTGACTCAGCGAGTCCACAGCAGTGTGACTCTGGCTCCGTTATAAACATCACTCCCTTTTCTGGTGACTACGCCAAGTGGCCAGAATTCAGGGACATGTTCACATCCGTCATCATCAACCGTGTTGGCCTGAAGGATGTTGAACGTCTTCACTACTTGAAGACATACCTCGCAGGTCAAGCAGCTCAAGTGATCGCCAGCACACCGATGTGCAACGAAAGCTTTGTTGGATCCTACTCATTGGAGCTCAATTGGACAAGCTTCTCAACCTGCCAACACTCACATCACGGTCGGCTAAGCAACTTTACTCGCTCATTGATCAGACATGACGCAATCAACGCACTTGTCGCTCAAAGAGTAGATCTCACCAGTGGAGACTGCGACCGATTAACGCATTTGATCATCTTCAAATTAAATCGCTCAACCTGAGAGGCTTGGAAATTGTCATTAGGAGCTTCAGTGGATTTTCTGACTCTAAGACAGCTACGTCAATTCCTGACGGATCGCGCTCGCGCTCAAGAGCAGTACGAGAAAAGTACCAACAAGACTGCAGATCACCAAAAATCCAGTCACTCGAACCTTGAAATCCAGCTCGAAGCCCAGCAAGGGTTCATCGTACGCCCACATGGTTATTACAAGCACTCATGCGTCGTCTATGACTCCAGTACCGCAAGCAGATCATCCAAAGGTGCCAACTGCTCAATACCCCTGAGGTGTCTGCAAGGGTGACCATTACGTGGGCAGACCTGATATGAACGGTCCATATCAGACCATATCAGGTCTGATCAAAATATTTTTTCACGGGATTACATTAATTGAGATTATTAATGGACGAGTTGTTACATAATTCACATGGCAGAAGTAGAGTTTGAGAAGAAGTTGACTTTAGTGTTACAATAAATATTCAATTTATAATTGTTGCGAGTTATGAGTATAATTAATGAAGTATTATTAACATTACTATTAATTAGATGACGCAACAATACTTGATCGAGCGGTGAGCTGATTAATTTTGAGAAATGATTCGAGTGCCGAGTACAATTGAATACTAAATAATTTGCAGTCACAAATATCCCTCGCAGATTCGAAGTTACTGTAAAATCACAGTGAAATCACAGTGAAATCATTCTTACCGTAAGTTTACTGTGCATTGACGGTGATTTCAGAGTGAGTTCACAGTCATTTTGTGACAATTTTTCACTGTAGTTTCATAGTAGTTCTACAGTAATTTCATGGTAATCCTATAGTGATTTCACGTGTGATTTTTTCATGGGCTTACAATTAATTTATTGTAGTTTCATGATAATTTTACTGTCGATAAAATATAAATTTATGGTAACCTAATAATGGTAACACTGATGCTTTATAATGGTTTTGCAGTCAGTTTATCATAATTTCACTATAAATTCACTGTGATTTCATGGTAATCTGATAGTTATAACTCAGCGGCTTCACAATAGCTTCACAGTCAGTTTACAGTGGTTTCACCATGATTTTACGGTGATCCCATGAAGACCTAGTAGTATTAGCTCTGTTACTCTATGATAATTTCGCAGTAAATTATTAGTGTTTTCTCCATGATTTAACTTTAGTTTGATGGTGATCTGATAGGGTACCTCTATCATTAAACCAATTTCTAAATCAAAATTGAAATTTTTAATTTCACTAATGGATATAAAAAAAAAATAAAAATAATTTTTGAAAAAGTCTGACATGGCGTTTTTGAGTAATTAACTTTTCACAATTAAACTTTGTAGATGCAATTTAAGAATACTGTCTTTTAGGCGATTTCACCATGATCGTGATTTTATGATAATTCTTTAATCAAATCAGTGTAGTCAAGCTGGAGATTCTAAAAATTACTTTATCAAAACAATATTATATAATATTTCAAAAGATTTTAGAGATTAATAAGTGCATACCTGGATGGATTAAATGACATCACCCAAGCCAGGTAGCATTGAACAATAAATTAATGTTAGGGTGCTATATAATGAATCAATTAATTCATTGGAATGTCAACGATGATAATTATTAATTGTTTGTGGCTGCTGCAGAGCATAAATATAAAACAATTGAAGACGTGTATGAAAAATAAAACCAATACGAAGTTATGATAAATCCGAACAAAAACAGTTTCACTGTAAAAAAATCGCGCCAAGTCCACGTTCATAAGACTATTAAGAAAAAAAAATTAGTTTTTTTCTTTACAAATTATAAAATGATTGTTTATTATTTTCGGAAATTAAAAAAAATTTTTTTGTAAATTTAAAAATTAAAAAAACAATTTTTGAACGTATTTAGTGTGCGTTGTTGCGAAATATTTTACTTTTGATTAAATTCGTAAAATCTATTTACTAGGGCTTTAAAAAAATTGAAATACACAATGTGACGCACACCAAGTACGTTCCAAATTTTTTTTTTTAATTTTTAAATTTACAACATTTTTTTTTTAATTTCCGAAAATCATAAACAATCATATCGGTTACTTGGATTTTTTAATTTTTTAATTTTATATCTTTTTGTAAAGAAAAAAACTAATTTTTTTTTCTTAATAGTCTTATGAACGTGGACTTGGCGCGATTTTTTTACAGTGAAACTGTTTTTGTTCGGATTTTAGTATTTTTTGTAATTTTAATAAAAATTTACAATTGGTACCAACTTAAATTTCGCGTTGGCTGCATTTTTTATAGCAAACTATCCCTTTGAAGCTACAGTTTATGTAAAAATAATTTCAGCGCACCTTGGCGGGTGTAGATGCAAGCTGTGAAATATCTTTTTTTAACTGTAGTTTCCCATCTAATGAAGGATTACTATGCATTCTCGAATTATTTAGTCTGTGGCAGATCACTTTGCCCATCGAAAAAAAGTCAGGATCGAAATTTTTGCGTTGCTATAGTTTGTGCTGATTAAATTTAGTAATTTCAAATAGATTAATTGTTATAAGTGAATATAATTAATTAATAACAGTGAAATAAAGTATGAATTACTGTTATAATATACAATTTAGGAAAAAAAAGTACCGTAGAATTAAATAAAATTTTGCAACCTCAAAATACCGTTCTGCTTACAGTAAACACAGTCGGTAGTCTGGCGCTCCGTTGACAACGGATTTGAACGGAACTTGGCGCCAGATTCTACCGAATCTGTGGATTTGATCACAGAGAATTAAATAATTTATGATGAAATATTATAAACAACAATTATAATTAGATGCCTGAGTTGCCAATGATGATTACAATCCCTTGATTGCCATGGCCTCGAAACTTCAATTAATTGCCTTGATTGCGATTGATTGATTTTTGGAATTTTGATTATGAATATTTAGTAGAGCAAATGTAGTCTACACGGTGTAGAGCTGTATCACGTGGAGAGTAATTATGTTTTTTTTTTTTTTTACCCTTGCTGGTGTAGTCTAGCTGGCCTATATGATATCATGTACAGCTAATGTTTGTTCGGCAATGAGCCGAGTCCCCACAGTCGAAGACAATTGATAATTAACCTGGCGCATAGCGAAAATTATCCTGTACTGGAATTACTGGTTTTAATAATTATGTTAGTTAGCGCGTAGCTGGCTATCGAGTTGGGAGTCTGAGTATCAGAGGGCGCGTCCGTAGCAGCACTTCTGGTAAAGTAGAGTGCGGAGTTATCAAGTGTTCTGGCGCGAACACTTGATAATTACGCAACAGTTATACTATTGTTAAAATTTTAAAGAGACCCCACTTGACTTTAATTTACACATCAAGTTAGCGTAAATCTATTGCCGGAATTTTCGCTCAAAGTTAACGCAAAGTTGCAGAAAGTTAACGTTAACTTCACGTCAACAGTTATAAGTACAACTGTTGCTCTACTGTTAGCGTAAACTTTACGTCAAATTCCAGCCGTTTATGCGAACTTCGTTTCATTTGTGCTAACAGGGCGGTCTTTTTGATTTCAGAAGATACCGTATGAGAGACTTTTGCGACAATATTATGTTATTATTATGACAAATTCTTCCGATGTTAGATCGGAAAGATTTTATCTTTCAGAGATCATTAAGGGCTAGTTTTTCTATCCGAGATAAAATTTTATCCAGGATAAAATTATTATTGCTAGTATATCTATAAACATGAAATATATAGATATATTTTAACAGTGGATAAAATTTTATCCCGGTTTGAAAAATTTGGCCCTAAGATATCTTTTTGCTCTAAACGGGTAATCATGTCTTCCTTTGCCAGAAACTCAACATCTTTAGCAGCAATAATTCCTAGAATATCAAAATCATTATTAAGAAATCTTATAAAATTTGACTTGTTTTTCAATTACAAATAAACAAATCTAATTATTACTTCATTATATAATATTAAAATTAGCAGATATATCTAAAAAACTTTTGAAATTTGTAGAATATACATGTATTTGTATAAATCAATTATTATAAAAAATATTTTTTTTTAATTTCCACTTGTGAAATTTTGTTGCTAAATTTTTTTTGTAATCATTGGATTGTTATAAAAATCTTAAAAATTGTTATATGTCTGCTAAACTCAGTATCATTTCATTATCAATTTTTACAGTCTTAATATTTGTTTTCTTTTTAATCTGATCATTTACTACAATTAATTCATCAACCGAATTCGCGACATAAAAAAACACTTATTTAAATAACACTAAAGTTAACCGAAATTTTTAATTTTTTTTCATTGATTGAATTAGAAGTATAAAATATTTTTAAAAAATTGCACTTATAGATTCTAAAGTTTTTTACAAAAAAATTTCTTTTTCTTATTTTTTTTTTTTGTAGTAATTTTTCAATAAAAAAAAATTATAAAAATTTTTAGATGTCAACTAACTTTAATTTTCATCTAAAAATTAAAGAAAAACATTGAATTTTTTTTTGTAATAAAAAAAAATCAAAAATTGTCTGATGCTTATCAATTTCAGCATTGTAATTTTCATTCTTTCAATTCATTAAAAATGATTAAAAACTATAATTACTTTTTCAACATTGTCATCAATCCAAGTAAAGAATGAACTAAATTGCTGATGATCCTGATCAAGCTGTCACCTTCCAGGTAAGTGGAACAAATTAATTTATACTTTTCAATGGAATGTAAAATAAGTATCTACAATTTTGTCCTCCGATGCCGGCCGGCATTATATCTAGCCGGTATCTGCTGCCCTCTACTTCAATATAAACTCAAAAAAAAAAAAACATGTAAAGTTGATTGAAGCCTGTGTTACTCAGAATTTATAAAATTAATAATTAATCACACAACAATTACTCAGAATAATTAATTTGAAAAAAAAAAAACATTAAAGGAATCTCTAATTAATTAAAATTTTAGTATCAAATTAATTGATTTTCTGAGAAAACACGTGAATTATTGTGAGGTTAAGTTGTCCATAGCTAAAGTTAAACAACAATTGCATGACAATGTTATTAAACGGGATAAGGATGACAATAAAGTGTCTCCAGTCATCAAACCAGCGGATGACAGTTTCATATCTCCCCAGAGTTAAAAACTACTCTGATTGGTTCCATCGTCAGCCGAAGCGCATTGTCAACGAGGAGGAACTCTTGGATTACGCTGAAGCTGCCGATGGACCTAACGAGTTTCTGGAGTCGGATAAAAAAATAAAACCGACTCGTGCTCCGTTGAAAGTTCGACCGAACAAACGTCAGATTAAAAAGAAATTGAAAGTTACTCCCAGTGATACTAAATTTAAAGAAGATGGTTCGCTGAATTTTATCGAGTTGACTGAAACTGACCGAACATTGACGTAGGTGTTGAATATTATTTTTTCTCAATTGATAATTAATTATAATTCAACTATTTTTCATAAATTAATTAATTTAATTTCCGGTCTAGAATGCTAATGATGTCAGTGAGGAGCAGAAAAACCCGTGACAGAAACAGCAAAATTATTTTAGAAGGTGCAAGGATGATCAACGACGCCATAGACGCTGGGCTGACACCTGAAATTATTTTATTCAGCAGAAATCCTGATGTGGAGAAGCTCTCACTGCCACAATCGGGAGTTAAATTGTTCAAAGCACCTTACAGAGCTATCCAAACATGGTCAACGCTGGTTACATCTCCAGGACTTATGGGTAAAGCTCGGAAATTTTTATTTTATTAATTTTAATGCGTTTCGAGGCTGGAATTGGGTAAAGGCTCCAAATGTTCACCAGTTTAGATAAAATTAACATAAATACATTATTTGTAAATTTATTGGAAGAGTTTATGAGTTGAAATGAGTATTATGCTTTTTTTATAGTTTTAACTTAAAAAATATAATACTTTTGTTTATACAGAACATAATAATAATCATTAAATTGTAATAGAATTAACATTACAGCTGATTGCACCCAATATTGACCATTATTTACTAAATATTGACCGTTTATGTTCCAAATACTGACTAAATAAATAAATTTTATTTTTAATCTATAATAGTTTTGACATTAGGTAATCTATTTACTGACATGTTAATAATTTCAGTATTGTTGTTAGTTATACTGTATTCTGATACAATATTATCATACCAAGAAATAATTCTGCTATTTATGAAAACATTTTGCCGATTCATGGCATAAAAATTTGGAATTCATTACCGGCTGATATTACAATAATTGACAACTTTGAACATTTTAAACAAGCTTGTTATAACTTCCTCTTGAAATCAATGTAATTACCATTAATCCTATGGTTTAATATGTTAGTACTATTAATTGACATCAATATTTTATTATATATTATTGATGGTCCTGAAGTAGCTTAGAACTCCAGGATCAAATAAAATTTTTATCTATCTATCTGTCCAGTATTCATATTGAAATCTATGTCTGAAGCCATACTAATATTAGGTATATTAGGTATATTAGATTATTTACAACACCAATCGTTGACCAGAGTATTATTTCAATTATTAATATGGTTTTTCTAACTAAAATGATTGATAATTAATTCTATGATATTCAATTATTTTGACAAATATATATTTAGTTATTATGAAGTATTTCATTTTATATAAATTGATGATACTTATTAAACACGGTGAAACAAACTTTTTTTTTATCATAACAATTGCATCTATTTATATGCAAGTGCTAATTTTCATTTCAAGTATCATTAAAAATTGATAATTACGTATGTACTAAATATAAAATTAAATTACTCGATTTTTTTAAATTAAATTGTTATGCTGCCTGATAAGGAGCCTTAGCTCCTTTAAAACCACTAAAAATGCATACAGTTTATCATTTACAAGTACACATTTAATACAGTGCTTATATTACATTTTTTTATTTTATTTATTTATTTATTTTCCAAAAATACATATATAGATGTACATATAACTACATATAATCCCTATAGAGACAAATGGTTGTCTGTACATAGTGTAGGGAAAAAGAGATAGGCCTAATACCTAGTGGTAAACAATAATATTAATTAATAACTGACTCACTCTCTCATACGTCTTCCAAGGAAAAATTACAATTAAATTTTGACATATTTCATATTTGGTTTTTAATATTTTAAGCCTAATTTAATTCTGTATTTAGTAACTAAGATTGTGTTATCTTAGAAAATTAGTAGATTCTGTGTATTTGTTAACTATTTTTTCATTTTAACCTTGTTAGTTTTATTAATTTCCGCCAATTCTTTATGGGGTTATACGCAGTTGTAAGGCTCAAAAAAAACTTTTTTTTTTTTATAAATTTTTTATATACAGTTTTTATTTATCAATTTCAAATCATAGTTATTCAAATAGAGTTTACTTTCAAGAATACAATATTACGTCAATCATGTAAAAATATTAATGTGCACCGCTCCTGTAGAAGATGTTCCGAACGACCTCTAAAAAAAAAGGCGCTTGGCGGTGATCTCTATTTCGGCAGTTCGGATTAACTGAGATAAAAAAATGTGTTAAATTCTTTTGAAGGATAGATTAATGTAGGTATTGGACGAAGGAATAAGAAAAATTTTGATTTTTGACAAAATGGCGTCTATTTGTAAAAATTTTTCATTTTTGACTGAAATTTTCGCTCCAAATAGTTAAAAAAAAAATCGTCATAATTTTTTTAAATCTTATTCCTTCGTCCAATACCTGCATTAATCTAGCCTTCAAAAGAATTCACCATATTTTTTGAATCCAGATAATCCAATTCGCCGAAATGATTATCGCCAAGCGTCTTTTTTTTAGAGGTCGTTCGGAACATCTTTTACAGGAGCGGTGCACATTAATAGTTCTACATGATTGACATGCTATTGTATTTTTGAAAGTAAACTCTATTTGAATAACCATCACTTGCAATTGATAAATAAAAACTGTGTCTATAAAAAATTCATTAAAAAAAAGTTGTTTTTGAGCGTTGCAACTGCGTATAACTACTTATATTCAATTGGTAAAAGATTAAAATATTTTATAGCAACTATTTTTAATTAATATTAAATAATAGTAATCATATTTACATTTTTACAGGATTTTTCGTGATGCCAGATACTGAAAAACGCGAACCAGCACCTGATGCGTTACCAGTCACTATTGTTTGTGACAATGTTAGAGATCCTGGTAATTTGGGGTCGATATTACGCGCAGCGGCTGCTGTTGGTTGCAAAAAATTTGTAACGTTGAAAGGTGATTGATTTCTTATTAAAACAAATTTTTATTGAGTATTTAATCTTACAAAAATTAGACAAAATAATTTACTAATTTATTAAATGTTCAGGCTGTGTTGATATTTGGGATCCCAAGGTGCTGAAAAGTGCAGCTGGAGCTCATTTTCGCATGCCGATTTTCGCCAGCCAGGTCTGGGATAACATGACCAAATTCGTCAACCCAGATGCTAATATATACGTCGCTGATCACAGTATAGAAGATATTGCGCCGGTTGAAGAACTTGCAGACCATGAAGAAGTAGAAGCGCAACTTAATGCTGAGATAGAAAGTGCGCTGGAGGACAACAAAGACAGTCTTGAAGTTGAAGAGGAAAATAAAAAAAAGAAGAAGACTTACCAGCAGGTCAAGCACGAGACTCAACTGGCCAAAGAGATGAAAAAAAATATTCCGGTTATTCCGTACTACGCGACCGATTATACCAAAGATGAGATTGTTATAATTGTCGGGGGGGAAACAGAGGGTCTAAGTCTTGAAGCTGTTAAATTAATTAATGACAAGTTTGGAGTACGAGTCAATATTCCGATGACCAATGGAGTTGACAGTCTTAATTCAAGCATGGCTTTGGGAATAATTGCCTTTGAAATAAGACGCCAGTTTGCGCTTAAAGCTGCCGAGAAAATTATTAAAGATTCTGAGGAAAAAAATGATAAATAGATGATAAATTTTGATTATTAATTAATAATTATAATGTAAATATTTTTAATAAATTGTTAAATTTTTATTGAATTGAAGCTGATGATACCATAATTTTTTTTTTTTAAGATCCGCAGAGGCTCGTGAAAAATTTATGGCAGCGTATTATTGATATATGAGGATGAAATCCGTTCTCAGATTAGTTGTAGGTGTGATACAGATAAGTTTTAGATTCAGCTAGCGTCGAAAAGTTTCATCAAACTTTTTTTACCTTCACTTTTATTTGGCATATCGATGAGCAGCTGGAGCGTGTTATCACTAGCGCTATCTTGAAATATGTCCTGTATTACATAAAAGTGAGCTTTAAAAATCATTTTCTTGTGTCGCGTATAAGTGATATTGATATCGCAAATTTAATATATTACACTTATTACTTGTTTTTATTTTATCAATATTTTATAAAACTTTAATATTTTAAATAAATTTATTGTGGGTATTTTTTATGATTTATAAAAAATTTCATTTGATTCTGAAATTAACAGATATTTGAAATTTTTTTTTTTTATTTTTATTTAGAAAAAAAAATCTAAACGTACAAATTTAAAGAAATGAGTTCGAATTACAAGAAAAAAGTTTTTCGGTAATTAATTAATTTATCATAAAAGTGTTGAAAATTATCATTAATTTCAATATTTTAAAATAGATTAAGAATCAAAACAAAAATTTATTAGGAATAATTTAAAAAAAATTTATTGCATAAAAATATAATTTAAAAAATGGAACAAATAACAGACAAAATTAAATTAAATTAATCTATATAGTTAAGAGAAGGAAAATTTTGTCTTCGGCGTATTCATACAATAAAATCAGTTTTTAAATTAAATTTAGTATCATTGGAAAGGTCTTGACTTGAATTTGTGCATTTTCAATGTTTCATATGCGTTTCAGCAATAGTTAATTTATTATGAGATTATATGTCAATGTGGTTATATGTCAATAATTGATTTATATAATTAAGAGACTAAAAAAATTTTTGAAGTGGGGATATCTTTATCGTAAATTAGGTTTGAAATTTTTTCAGCGATAGTCATTTATAATTTAAATAATTGAGAGAGCAAGGAAAATTTCGTGACGAGTATATTATTATTTTTAAAGGAATTTGCATAGTTAAATTTGGTTTCATCAGAATGATATTAAAATTAGCTGACGTTCAAAAATATTTTTGATTTTTTTTTATTAATTAAATTAGAACAAAATAATATTTTTAAAAAATTGCACGTATAGTTTTTAAAATTTTTTTTTTAATAATTTTTCAATAATATAAATTACAAAAATTTTTCGATGTCGACTAATTTAATTTTCATTTCATGAGAAAGGTCTTGACAAAAATTAGTGCCTTTTCACGGTATTATATATTTTTTAGTGATGGTCAATTTTTTATGTTAAGTTTTTGTAGGAGCTTTTAATAGTTTGCTGGTTCTATAAATTTGCTCCGTCACATTTGTCCATTAAATTATTTGTAATTGATCCTGTGATAGCACTATTGTTTTCAAATTTATTTCAAAAGTACTCAAACTATGTATAGTGTGATTTATAAATATAATCAAAGATTGTAAATATCAAAAAATCATTAAGCCAAAATTTTTTTTTATCATAATTCGAAAATCTCGTCAGCCACATAGAGACTGTAGGTCGGTAGTTAATTATTAATGAAAATTTATTAATTTTTAACAATATTAATAGTTAAAATTTTAATAAATTATTGTTTAATCTCACTGTTCTAAAAAAAGAAATAATTTAAGCATTGACGTTTAATTTCCTGAACAAAAAAAATCTTTAACGTCACTTGAATCAACCCCATTAGCTCAGGCTAGTCCTTCACAACTTCAGCAGGGCAAATAAAACAATGAAAAAGTATAACGGAAATTAAACATTACTACAAACGTGTTACATCAACATCGAGGCTTGTGAAGTGCAGCCGAACAAGTGGCCGGCACGCTTATCCCCGGCAAAAAATCTCTGTACGTAACACCAAAACATATAAGTGCATAATTATCACCGATAATAAAGAGGGTGAGTGTAATATGGCATTAAAAATAAAATAAAATCTCATAAGCAGTTAAAAATTATTGAATGTTTTGAATTGAATTTTTTTGATTCATAATTGAAAATTTGCTTTGTTATTCATAAACCATGTAATTAAAAAATTATATACAAATATTTCTCATTTTTAAAAGAACATATTAAATATTCATTGTATTCTTTTTAATATTAATCAATAATGTGCTATAACTCTTTTGATATTTCAATAAAACGTTGAAAATTTTGTCTGTAACTATTGCCATATATTTTATTAGTTCTACTGCTCCCGGAGTGTTCAACTACTACTCCTTTCATGGTCTATCTTAAAAACGTTGTCAAAATATAAATATTTAATTATTTGCGTTATTTTGCGGTTCAATCAATTCAAAATTGTTTATATTTTCATGAAAATCACATAGAAAGAAAAATTTCTTGGCTCAAGAAAATTTTCGGGTGCCTGAAGAAAGACCGAAGTTGTATTGGCCGAAGTAAAAATTTTTCTTGAAATTCTATTCTTGGTGGAAGTAATTTTTTCTTAATTCAAATTATCATAAATAAAGCAGCGCCACTTACTTCAGCTGAGAAAAAAATTTTCTCACCTTAAAAAAATTTTCTCTTGAATATTTGATACCTATTTTATATAATTTTAGCGTGCAATCATACATATTGAATGAAAAAAAATGATTCAATATTATTTGATTTTCCCATTTGACATGTCAATCAATAAAAATAAAAATGAAAATTTACTTCTATCTTTATATTTAATTTTTTGGAGCAAGAGGCTGAATTTTCTCAAAACAACAAGATTTTCTTGACTTAAATAAATTTTCTTGGATCAAGAAAATTAATTTTGTTGGAATAAGTAAAATTTCTTGTCAAAAAAAAATTTTTTTCTCACTCAAGAAAATAATCAGGAAGAAAAATATTTTCTTGGTTCAAGTAAACCTTTTTTCTGTCCACTAATTTGAACTAATAATTACATGTTTATATAGTAAAAGTAGGATCAAATACGTTTTACTTTGAAACCTGTTCAACTACTGGATACTTTACCTTAATGACAAAAATTTTTCAGGTAAAAATTTGATCTTGTAGAAGAGATGCGCGCGCAATTTATCGTCGCTGGTCCAGTTGATGCTGCTGTGGTGTCAGGAATGGAAGGTGAATCTGAATCGAAATGGAGTTGGATATAAGTCTAAAGCTGGTGTAAGCTGAAGACCGAATACGAATACGAAGACAAAACTATAAAACCGGTCAATACTCCGAGCGACGGCGCCGAGAGAGGGATTGCTGTGGGTGGGAGTGATATTACATCAGCGTGGAAGATAAAATGAGATGAAGCTACTCTCAATGCAATTCCCAGAAGCGAGATGAATTTTGGGGAGCTCGAGGAAGGGAGCCTTTTACACTTGTAGAGAAAACGTGTGCACCCAGGAGGCGCACGCAGCCTTCTCTTTTCTCTGTTCTCTTTCTTGGTCTTGGTCTTGGGGACTAGGCTCTACATGCTTGATGCTAGTTAGTGTTAGTCTCTAATATAAAGCGCATCATATCACAACTTTTGTACCGCGTTGTGGTGCTGCTCTGCCTCCTCCTCCTCCTCTTCCACTACGGGGAGTACCACCAGGAGTAGGAGCCACAGCCCGTACCTATACTAAAACTCGGGGATTTAGTATCTCTCTCGGGTATCGTCATCCTCCTTGGCGTGCTCGTCGCACAGACGCAAACTCAACACAGAGTCGTCTACGTCGTGGACGTTGACGGGCGTGCACTTGACAAGAATCACGTTTTTCATGCTATACCACGTTTGTATAAATATACGAGTACATGCGAGCATATATTTATGTTTATTGATAGTAATATGAATAATTATCTGGTACATCGTCGAGAAGATACTGCAGATTTATAATTTTTATTTTTTATTTTAATATTTATATTAATTATTTTTTGTTAAATTCATTCGACATTTGTGAATTTTTTTTTCGTTTTATTTTTTATTTATATATTACATACCGAGATGATTGTAATATTACTTAAGATTTTTTTTGTTAACACAAATTATGTGAATGAACTTGAATGTGAGTGACGGTGACACGAGTGCCTGTCGTCTCAGTAGTAGCTAGTGAATAAAAACCGCGGTGACGTTTACCGAGTGCCTGGTAAAGAGATAAAGAAGATTATTGTTGAGTTTATTTAAATAACAAGTGCCAGTTCCAGTGCTAAGGAATTCTTTTTTAATAAATACTCCCAGGATATTATTATTATTATTATTATTATTGTTATTTATTTTATTTATTGGAGTTTTAATTAACATATATATCTATCAAGGTACATTGGTGGAATTTCTGCACACGCAGCATTCCGTTAACCATGTGTACGCATTGAAAATTATGGTTATTAATTACAAGATACGATTAAACATGGAGTGGATTTTGATAATGTTTATTATTGGTAAGTTTGCTTTTTTTTTTATCAGTTAATTTTTTTTTTATATTTGTTATTAAGTTTAAGAAAGTGTAAAATTTTTTACCCAAAATTTTAGAAAAGTTAGGGCAAAATTTTGTGTAAATATTTTTTTTTTTTATTTTTTATTAAAATAACTTTTTATATTTTATATAAAAAATTTACAACTAAATCAAAATAGATAGAAAAATTCTTTTTTATTGTCAGATATATCTGTAAATTTTAGTAAACTGATAAAAGAATTTATTAACTATAAATAAATTAATTTATTTGGAAATAATTTGTTCATTTAAAATTTACATTTACTAAATTTTTATAACTTGTACTTAAAATTTTAACCATTTAAACATTTAAGCATTTAAATTCACCTTTTTAAACCCTATTATTTTTATTTCCTCAATTATTAGACATTGTTTTCTTTCTCATCATTAGTATATTACAAAGTTTATATCTATATTATTAAAATCATTTCAAATTATAAA